GTGGACCTTATCATCTTCTCAGTAGTGACATATGAGGGAAGTGTAGCCTCTGGCTCCTCACCCACTGTGAGCCTGGAGAACTCCTCTCCTGGCATGAGACAGGTGTGGTGGATCCAGGGGGTGTTCCCAAAGCCAGTGAGGTGTGGTGGATCCAGGGGGTGTTCCCAAAGCCAGCGGTGGGATTGCTGTGCTGGGCAGATGTGCACTGTCCCTGGGCTCAGCATTCCCCTGGGCACACGTGGTCCTGGTGCTGTAGGACACAGTTTTCTCAGCACAGACAAGGGAGGATCCCTGGTCACAAGTAGGTGATGCAAAATTATTAGAGATTTGATGCGTGGCCAGTCAGTTTGGTGCTATTATTTGAAGTTTGTACCTGTCCTCTAGTTACAGATTTCTTACAAAGTAGGTGTTATTTCTGTTTATTGCTTGTCTTTAACACCAGAGGTATGTGTTACATCTAGATGGATTTCTTCTGCTTCTTCCCCCTTGGTTTTCTAGACCATGGTGGTTCCTTAAGAGCAGCTGTAATTTGACAGGAGCAGAAAAGGCTGGCTTAAATCCAAATGGCAAAGACTGCCCCATCCAGGCTGCCTGTGAGCCTTGGCTCAGGAACACAGGAGCCCAGAGCTCTTGCAGTGGCTGTCCTGGAATGTGCAGGAGGCCCGGGGAGGGCAGGGATCCGTGCTGGGCTGTTGGGCTCATTCACCGGGTGCCCAGGTGCTGGCTGTCCCCAGTTTGACTTTGTTCCATCAGTCCTGTCTGCAGCAGGGGGGGAGCACAGTGTGGGTTTGCCTGCTGTGGAGGGAGCAGGTTAAACTGGTGCAGAGCTGAGGGACCAGGGTTTGCCCAGGGAGCTGTTTAAGTGCAGCCCATGGAAGGAAAGATGGCTTGTTCTGCCTCACCTTTATTTGTGGCTGGTTGGAGTCAGTGGTGGTGTTTTACAAGCAGCTTGTGGATTTTCTCCTGAAATTAGGACTGTATCTAGGACAGCTGAGAAACCAGAGACACATTTTATTTCTGTATCCCTCACCTTCTGTGCTCTCTGGAGAGGACAGGGCCGTGATAGCCCAAGCATAAAACTGTTTGGTAAAATAAGGCTTAATTACTATGAGTTGGGTCAAAGTTTTGGTTAACATGATCTTGTTTTTCAGTTTAATTTTCTGGTTGTTGGTAAAGCTGAAATGCCAGTTTCTGACCTAGTTTTCATCTAGTCTTAGGCTCTTGATATTCTGCTGCCTTGTTGTGTGCAGGGTGTCACTTCTGCCAGCTGGAATGTGATGAGTTTTCTTGCCTGGTGTTTTGACCTTTTCATAATTTAAGTAGGTGTTTGTCACTTTTTCTGTGTTTACCATGGGAGGGGAGGATGGAGAGAGATGGAAAGTGGCCATTACAACAAAGGCAAGAAAAAATACATCTGTGGTGATATTTCCTTTTCCTTTGCTCCCCTCTGCCTCAGTGGGAATGAGGTCTGTGATGGCCCTGGTGCCTGGGGGTTGCTGGCTGTGATGCTGCACACGGTGTTTCCTCAGGAGTTCTTTATAAACCTCATGGCCTTAATTCATTCTACAATGCCTCTCTAAGGACTGACCTTCCACTTAGGGGAGGGCCAACTTTTTTTTTTTTGAAGCCTTTTTGTTGGAATGAGGGTTGTCTGTGGAGACAGGTAGTGAGCAGCCTTCCCCACCCTTGTTTATCCCACTCTCAGCAGACCAACCCTCTACCCTCGTGCCCCTGGAGCAAAAACTTGGGTTGTGGCATAATCTCTGTACACTGATCCTTGTCTGGCAGAGCTGGAGGCCAGGAAAGGTAATTCATTGAATTTAGAAATAAAAGGCAGTGGAATGATTGAGGGTAATTTACTTCTGTGAGACCTAAAGATAAAATTGAGGGGAGCAAACGGCCCTGGTGAGAGCAGAATTAGGCTAAATGGGGTGAGACCAGGAGAGCACAGTTCACCCTTGGAGGAACCTGACAGTGTCCTGTCAGTGATGAGCTAGAGGGGTGAGGTTCAGAAAGAAGCCTAAGCACTAAGGATAAATTCAGTAGGAATGAAAATGGTTTGGTGCGAGGTTTGGTTTTGGTTTTTCTTGGGATTACCTTTGTTTTGTTTTGTTTTGTAAGTCATAGCTGAAGAAAGAGGAATTTCTGTAGAAAGTGGCAGAAGACTCTGGTCTTGGCATTTTCTCTGGAGGGTCTCAGCAGAATGGGAACAAAAAGGGAAAAACACCTCATCTGTGGTCAGCTATTTGGCATACAAGAAACAGCTGGGAACAGTTAAGATTTTCAGGCTCTGTTGAGAACTGCTGCTCTTCTTCCCCAGTGCAGACAAGCAGGAGACTCCACCTGTGACTCCATCTGCACGATGGCCGAATCCTCGGCTTGGTTCAAACAGCTTCTTATGGCCTTTGAAGTGAATATTTCTGACTTGTGAGTGCTCTCCATCTGCTTCAGGGTAGTAAGAAGTAGCTGGGGAACAGTAATGTTGAAAACAGTGACAGAGAGCCATTTCTGCAGGCTGGCACCTGCCCAGGGGTTTTGGACAGCAGTGAATCGAGGTGACCACCTTTTCCCCTGTGTTGGCAGCCTTCAGGGACATTGGCCAAAATAATCAGTAATCAGGTAAAAGAGTAGCATAGCAGAAAACTGGGTGATTGCAGGGCAGAACAGGTACATCTCTGGCACCTGGGAAATCAGATCTAGATCCAGACTGGTGGGAAAAAAGCTACTGCAAAAGCACATTCTCATAGCTAACATGATAATGAGGTTTTTCTCACACTTCCTCATCTTTCACCGCTTTCATTGTATTTTAATAGTGCTTCAAGGCATAATTCCACTTCAGCAGTGAACAGCAAACTGGAACCATTGCTGTTAAACTGCAGCATAGCTTGCCTGGGGGCCAGGTGAGAGGGGAAAATGTGGAGGATCTCATAGGTGAGTTTAATAATAATTAGGTTGCTGAGTGAGGAGCAAATGGCACAAATGCAGTACAGCTTGTTAGTTTGGTATCTGTATTGATTTTCCTGCATAAGAAACAGCTACACAGGGTAAAGACAGTAATTGTTTAGGGTACTGTATAAAACATTTCAGTAATAGCTGTTTAACTCCCGTGGGTCTGACTAAGCTCACTGGAATCATCATATATGCCACTTTCTGCTTTGTTGCATGAGGTCAGAGGCAGACCTCTTCAGTGTGTGTTTTATCATTTTCATTTATGCATTTGAATCATAATAAAACAAATATATCTCATCAGAAGTTGTACCTTAAAAAACAAAAGTAAAACCACAGTTCTCTTCAAGTGTGTGTTCGTTCTTGAATTAGGAATCTCTTAGATCTGGGGATATACTCTCTGTTTATTATAAAATGCCAGATACTGATGATTCAAAATGTAGTGATTTGAAAGGATTTTTACTTACTGTCTTGATTTCTGTTACATCAGTAACACCTTGCTACTTTAAGTATTGTATTTTGCTGTGTTTTGCTCTTGTTTCAAATCTACAGTTCAGCTAAAGGAATTTGAATTTTCCAGAAAAGGGAAATGTGGAGACTTTTCTGTGTGTAAACAGTGACACTGAATGCGTTTGAAGGCAGTGAAAGCAGTTTTCTGTAAAACTTGGGATTTTGGGATTCAAATGTTTGAATCTCTGCATTCAAAAATAAAAAAATACACTTTTAAAAATACAGATTATTTGAAGTATATGTTTGATAAATCCCACAAAGCAAAAGGTGAGTTGCCTTGGAAATGCTTACCTTTCATGTTGCATATCATTTTATAGAGGAGGAGGAAGGAAATGGCCTTTGCTTCCAGGTAACAGCCACCTTTTGTATCTCCACTGAATGTGGTGTGAGTCAGTGACCATCCTGCATGCCAGTTCTGTTCTGTGTTGGAAAAGATCCATGAAGAACTGTTTGCACAGTGGGGAAGTTGACCTCAGTTCCAAAAAGAGAAAATCTGGGATGGAATTGTCCTTGATTCCTTTTATTTGATCTCTCATTACCACTTGTCTATATCCTAAGAATAGGAATGACAAATACGGGGAAGTTTCAGTTCTATATCAAGCCTCTCTGTTTGGGTTAATAGAAAATTTATACTTGTCATGTTTGTAAAATAAGTTAAATATATACACGGGTTTTCAGGTCTGTGGGTTTTTTTTATTGCCACTGTGTTGTAGCTATGTATGTAAAACACCTTCCTCAGATTCTGAAGTTCATTAATGGCTCCAGATCTTAACCCTTGCATAATGCAGGCTTTCTAACATGGCAAATGTTTTTTGTATGGAAAAGAAAAAAAAACTACTTACTTAAAAAGCTGTGTGTAACAAATAGATTGAAACTTTTATTGTGTTTATGTCATAGCTTAGGAGGTTGTCTGGGAGAAGGGTGTTTGTGCATTTAGAAGAAGTGCTTAGAGTTGGTTTTCTTTCCTTGTGGAATCTGATAATCAGAATTTTTAGATCTTGTAGTAGTGGGAGGCATTTGCCATTGAGAGTAAGATGGAGTGAGTAGGAATGCACTTTCTCCTGAAGTACTGCTGGCTTCTGGAATGGTTTTATTCTGCCCCGTGCTGGGATGTTCCCTTTGGAGCAGGAGGTGTCCTCCGTGTCTCCTCTGAGCTGGTTACTGAGAGCCTCTGCTGAGAGCTGCTCGGCCTCCAGTGAGGAGTGTCCGGGCTTTGAGCCTCCAGTGAGAATTGTCCCTGGTTCAGAGGGAGCTGCTCAACCTCCAGTGAGGATTGTCCCTGGTTCAGAGGGAGCCTCCCGGCTTTCAGTCGGTGCCCGTTTCCTCTTTGTCCATTGGATTCCGATCTGCCCCTGTTGTTTTTCCACTGACTTTATTTAAGCTCACATTTCTTCTCTCTTTGAGCTGCTGCACAGGTTTTCTTTTAACACTGCACCTGTTCAAGGTCCTGTAGATGTTATGCTTTATTGTTACTGTATTTTTTTTAAGAAAGATCCAGTTTTCTTGCAACAATGTCATTGTCTTCACTTACAGCAGGCTCCCTGTGAGGATCCACCCTGTGAAACCAAATTCTTTCATAATTACCCTCTTGTATTTCTTGTTCTGATTGCATACACCACTAAGCTCCACCACTTCTGGAGGAAAAAAAATTAAAAAAAAGTGCATCCAGTGGTCTCTGTAAGGCAGAGCTAGATGAGACCTGCTCTATGAACTTCAGCAGGACTTTAGGTGGGTTATTTCTTCCTTGTTCGTGTGGTGATACCCACTGAGTTTTAGTAAAGTCACTGTCGTTCTGCATGACTTAAGAGTTTAAGATGCCTGTAAGTAAAATTTATTGTGCAGCATACCAGCAATATACAATACTGAGTGATTTCAGGGGAAACACTAGTTCAAAGCCGGGCAAAAGTTACGGAATACTGAATTAAGAATGTCTCTGCAGCTGGAATTGGACTTCCCATTCTTATGCATGATGTTTCAGCCTTGCCTGTATGATTGAACAGTGTTTTCTTCACTGACTGTGTCTGGCTGTCAGGGCTGTTTCCTGCTCTCAGAAAAGCCTTTACTGTTGTGGATTGTCTCTGTGTCCAGCCCATGCAGACGAGAGGAAGGGAGAGTGTTTCCACGTGTTGCATTTAGTTGTTCTTTCTCGTGATCTTGTGGTGAAAATCTAGGAGATATTTCCTTATTTAAAAAAAATTGAGCAGTGTTCAAGGGAGTGTCATTGACCATGTTCTGTCAGTCCAGCCTCTTGGCCTGGGTGTGCTGAGAACAGACACACAGCCCTTGCCTGTAGAACATGGCTGGTGCCCTTCACTGACAGTGTAAGCACATGGAGTGGGTGTGTTTTAAAAAAAGAGGCTTCACCCTTCCCAGTTGGCATTCAGCATTCTAGTGCAGTATAGTGATGCTGGTTTTGATAAATGTATTGATGGTTTGTATCCAACAAATAATCATAATTTGCTTCCTTTTAGTTTATTCCATTTTTCAGTTAGATGATCCTGTTTTGGGGTGTGTTTGTGGGCTTTTTTGATGCTGAAACCGGGGAGGGTTGATGAGTTTACATTCTTTGGGAAACACGTGTAAGTGTAGCTGAACCTGTTTGCTCTGGCAGTGGGCAGGGATGGCAGGGATGGTGGGCAGGGATAGTAGGGATGGCAGGGATGGTGGGCAGGGATAGTAGGGATGGCAGGGATGGTGGTGGGCAGGGATAGCAGGGATGGCAGAGGGCAGGGATTGCAGGAATAGGAGGGATGGCAGGGATGGCAGTAGCAGTGTCTCTCCCATCTGTGCTGGTGGTGCAGAACTCAGGAGCTGGAGCGTTTGCTGCCCTGTGCCCTGGGGTGTGTGGGACCAAGGACTGCCACTGTCAGCACGGCCTGCTGGGGATGTTCCCTGGGTGAGTGGGAACCAGCCTGGGGGGTGTGTGGAGCTGTCAGGAAGCCACATGTGGAATATGATCGAGGCTCTGGAAACCTTCTTGTTAGTGTTAGTGTGTGTGCTTCAGGTTATTCATAGGAGCTGAAGAAATTCCGTTGTACTGGTTTTTTTTCTGCTTTATTTCATGAAATGGACTTTCTGAAGCATCCCTGTTTTTTGGACAGAAGGCTTTTGTTTTCCTGTTGACTTCATGTGGTGTTTATGGCAGTCTGTCAGATTACTTTTTGTCCCCCTTCTTGTTGCATATTTGTACTGCATATTTTTTAAAATGAGCTATCTTTGCAATTTTTCAGTAGAGAAAACAAATGAAATTACAAGTCACAGATGCTCTCAGAAAGGTTTCTGAGAAAGACAAGCTCTTCATACTTCCTTTCATTTTGTTTTCCTTGCTCTTCTTTCCTTTCCTTCTGCTATCTGAAACAACTCAATTGTCTTCCAGATGTAACACCCCAAATGTATTTTTCTCATGCTCTGTAGATGGAGGAGTCTGTGCCCCTGTCCCTGTGCCACTCGCTGTGTGTGGGACAGGGCAGGGCTGGGGCCTGTTGTCCCCCTGTTCTCCACTCCTGTTCTTGGCCTTCCCAGCTGCCATCAGGCTGCTCCTGTCACTCCCAGTCAGCTCTGAATGCCAGGCAGGAGTTGGACCTTAATTCTGGTTTCCTTGTGCTGGAGTGTCTGACAGCAACTGACTCGGGCTCAGCCATGGAACCGGAATTAGATGTGGAATGTGGAGAATGCTGCATTATTTTTCTGTACCAGAAGACAGTGAACTCTTAATTGCTTAGTTTAAGTATTAAAGCATTCCTCATGCATCAGGACTTTGCTTAACCAAGTGAAGCTGTAAGAAATAAATGTAACTACCAAAAAGTTTCTCCTGATGACCTCACTGTTCTATTTGTATTGATCCTGTCTGTATTTTGTTTGGATTTATGTGAATGGATGTTACTGACCTTGCATTTATTTTTGTTTCTCTCCGTTATCCTCTAGGAGCAACATTTAAAATGTTAAAGGCAGTTTTAAAAAAGAGCCGAGAGGGTGGAAAAGGGACCAAGAAAGATCCAGGTATGAATATCAATGCTATGTGTACTGTGCTGTCAGCTCCAACACAGCCCAGGGCCAGGGCTGCAGAAATGCAGAAATGTGTTTGAAACTACTTATTCATTAAACCCCCCTGATTACGTATTATGGGTAATAGAATTTTTATTATGCATGTATTGGAAAAAAAATTTAATTGAAAAAAAATTCAGTGAGAAGTTATTAAACTGGTTACCAAGACTCTATTATGTTTTAGTTTTTGCTTTAACTACGAGTATCTTTGAAGATAAAATTAATCATCACCAAATCTTACTTAAAATAAGATAAAGCTTATTGTACTATTAACCATGAATTTAGTAGGCCACTACTTACCTGTGTCACCTTCCAGGAAGGCAGGTAACAAGAGCTCTCACTGCAGTTGCCAGGGGCAGAGAAGGTGCAGCAATTCCCTTTGAGGAGGAGCAGGGGCTGTGGAGTGCAGGTGTTGGGGCTGGGATGAGCCCTGCCTGTTCTGTGTCAGGTGTGCTGAATTTAGTTTTTGCTGCAGTGGCTGAAAAGCTCATGGACCTGAGGGAAAGTTACCTGTTCTTCACAGTTACATTTTTAACTTCAGACTATTCACGTAGACTAATACATCTGATTTTCTGTTGAGTTAGATCCTAAATTACCCATAAGAGTGCATTTACACTCCTTGCAAAATGGATTTCCTACTCCCAGAATAAATAAAAGCAAACCCAAATGCTTCTTTAATGTATAAAACCCAGAGTGTAATACAGCTGCCACATCCTTGTTTGCTGGAGCCTTGTAAGCAATGCAGTCCTGCTTTCTTGGACAAGTTTAAAAGCACTGCAGCTTTTAAACCTCTGCAGTTACCCCGATTCCTACAGGTGGAGGGTGTTTGCAGTGTTCTTTTGCAAAATGCTGTTGTGTGTTCATCTGGCAGCTCCTGTGTCCTTCAGGAAATTTTTGTGGTCTTGTGAAGTTTGCACTCTGCCACAGTTCCTCTCTGAGTGACTGGATGATGGGTGCTGTGCTGACCAGAAAAAACCTTGCCAGCAGATCAGAGATGCACAGGAGTGATCACACAGCAAGATGAAAAGCATCCTGGTAATTTGGTGTGTGCTGCTGACTTGGAGTTACCAGCTGGAGTTGTTTAAACAGAGTGGGCTAAAGATTCCTGTGGTGAGGCTTTCACTGGTACATTTTTCCTTAAAATACTAGATGGAAATTGGTTTAAGCTCAAAAGGAAAATCAGGCTGTTTGGAACAGAGCTCCTCTGACCAGGCTTTGATTAAAATCTGAAGCTTGAAAAGTCTTTTTCCTGTAGGTCAGAAAACACATTTTTTGTTTTAGGATCTCATGACATCTGTCTGGATTAATGTGTGCAAAAGAAAGGATTTTCTCCCTTTGTTTTTACAAATACAATGCTGCTGTATTTCTGAACACCAAGGGAAGAGTTAGAGCCTGGGAAGTGTTTTGGTTTCATTTTTGATTTCTTTTTTTTGTTTGGGTTTTTTCTGTTTGTTTGCCTGGTTTGGTTTGGTTTTGTTTCTTTTTTACCAGCAAAGCTCTAGAGTTTCATGTATTAATTGGATGTTATGGAAAACAAGTAGTGGGAAAAACTGGTGAGTAATGCCTGGCTGGAGAGAGCTAGAGTAAGGAGGAGTGCAGGAGCCACTTTTTAAAAGGAAGGAAGTAATTTATACAGTAGATTCCAGAGATTTTTGCTTATTTTAGATTTGAAGATGGTGTGAAAAGTTTAAAAGAAATCCATGTATTCCATTCTGTATTACCTCCAGGACTTCCTGTGAAGCTATGTCCAGTTTAATAGTTTTCTCTTTTGTTCCAAAGGGCCTTCCAACTCTTTTGGCTGTAAGACATTTCTCCATTTTAGAAAAGATGTGAAGCAAGGCAAAGAACATTGGTCTTTGTAGAGCTTATTTTTTGCTCGCTCCTCTCTCTGCTCCTTGAACTCAGAACATGAGAAATGGCAGGGATTTTTTGACTGTGGAGTTGTCCCACTTCATGGCCCTTTGGGTCCGTAATAGCCAGAGAAGCTCTTACAATGTCCTGCTCCCTGGAGAGGGTGGAAACGCTCCCAGGAATGGGAGCTGACTCCAGAGACAGCAGAGTTGATGTGGAAATGGCCATCCTTTGAGCCAGCCCTGGAGAGAGTAATGCAGTAGTAAATTCAGATATTTCTCTCAGCTTGTGGGCACGTGACCTTGATTTTTTGCTGATGAAGTTTTGGAAAAGTTTTCATTTTTTTCAGAGCTTGGGAATGTGGGAGGAAGGAGACAGCGCAGCTCTGTAGTGCTGCCTGGAACCCAGCTGGGAAGACTTGCCGGGGTCTTTTTCCAATGTATTCCTGGTTTAGGAGTGATGCTGAGTAGGTAGAAGGCAGTAAAATCTGCATGGTTGTACTGGGCATCCCAGCCAGGGCAGGAGGGACAGCAGGGCCGTGAGCTGCACCTTGACCACGTTTCAGTGGGATAGATTGGAAGAGGTTTAGGCTAAACTACAGTAGCTTTTTCTTAAACTGAGGTAACCCCAGTTGTCCCATGGGTTGCATGAAAGGAATGCCTGGAAATCTGTGTAATTCAGATCTGAGTGGGATGATTCCTGTTTGACTGAATAGAACTTCCTGTTTGTGTGTTAACTCTGTTTATTGGTTTAGCAGCTGGTAGCCTTGTGGAACCAGTGCAAATAGGAAAGGTGGTTTTTTCCTGAATTGAAGGCACAGCTGTTGTATTAAAAAGTCTGTAAAAGGGTTAAAGAGCAAAAAGAAATTAGGACTGGTTTTTTTTAGATAGCTTGTGTGGATGTTAATGTTAGAATTTCTCATTTGCCCTGACACATAAGGGCTGAAGACCTGATACTGTGCATAACATTTTTGAACTCGACTTGCTGAGTATGGGGATTGCAGTTTTTCATAACTTCTTAAATTCAGGGTCATCTTGAAAAAGAGGGTTGCAAGAAATGTCTTTGTAGAAATCAGTGCTTCCCTGCCCAGGTGGAAGGCTGTCCCGTGGGAATGTCGCTTGCCAAATGATGCAGAAGCAGTAGCTGGAAATACGTAGTGTGGCTCAAAACCTGCAGTTGCTTCAGTAAAAACTCTCCAGTTGTTTTGCTAAAATAGCTCATTTAGGTGTGGCTGGGAGGCATTGATAGGTAGGTAGCTAGGTAGCTGTTGTAGGATGAGGTAAAGTGTAAATGAGGCAAGTTTAACATGTTCAAACATGCACATACAGACTTATCAATATGTGCAAACACATGTGGACACAGGTGAAAGCTGTGTTGGCAGCAAGTTGTTCATGGGTAGAGCAGCTTTTACAAACAGAACTAACAGAATGTATTTCTGAAGGTGGATTTGAGGACAGGGTGGTTGGTTGGTATCCCACTTAGACAAATGGATGTGCCAAAGGAAAAGAATTTCAAATAAAACAATTTTTTGACCAAACTTTTTCTGCATCCAAATTTTTTCTGATGAAGCAACCTGTCTTTATGCTGCTTCAGACATAGTTACTTCCATACAACAGAAATATCTGTCTATAAGTTGATTTTTCTTTTGTCTTGTACTTCCTTCCATTATGGATGAAAATACTTGGTAAAGGACAGAACCTGAGGGGGAAAAACCCACAGTCTGCACCTGTCACATTAAAGGAACAGAAAACTATTTTGGGAATGTTTGAAACCAAGCAGGAAGAGAGTAAACAGGAAGATTAATTCTTGTGTCCCAGAAGGTAATCGGTGGGTTTATAGTATCTCATGTACACTGGGCTGAAAATGTACAGCACTTACCCCCACAGCTTCCCCTTGTTTCTCAAGGTTTTCATTCAGTCTCAGAAACAAAGTAAAAATGTGGTATTTTCTCCTCTTTGTCAGGTTATTGTTATCAATAAATATTATCTCTTAGCAGAGTTTCTGAGTCCTGCAGTGATTCTCTGGGAGGAGTCTCTGGTGTAACTCCCTGGGCCCTGTGGCCTCTGCTGAGGGCACCCATTCTCCTGCCCTGCTCTCGGCCTTTATTTTCTACATTTAAGATAATCTCAACTCTGCCATAGTTCTGCCCTGCGTCTCTTCCTGCCTACCATGGCATTGTATCTCTGCTCTCTCTCCTGTGTTGTTTCCATAGTTGATTGAGGTTTGCTTGTTGTCCAGTTTCTTTCCTTGAGGTTTTTAAATTGACCTCTGTAACCACTGGGAGATTTTCTGCCTCTGGCCTCTCTTGGAAGGAGCTGGCCTTTCTTATTTTAATATAGCACAGAAACTTTGTGTATTAGTGTCACAGTTGAAGAAATTGAAGCCAAAGACTGCTGTCCAGATTCAAGTTCAGCAGGGTTACCTGCAGGGCTTGTCTGTGATGAGGTGATGATGTAGAGACTATACACAATAAGCTTCAGAATATAAACAAAAAGTACTTCTTAGCTGTCCTTGTTTTGGAAGTTCTATTCATTCTTAAATGCTTCAAAATGCTTCAGAGGTAGGTTAGTATTAGTATTTCCTGTTGGGTTTCTGTACTGCCAGTGGCTTTCCACTATATAATTAGGTTTGTTTTATTTAACTGTCCTAAAGTCAGCAACTTGTCTGCATTTGGGAATCTGCTTTTTTTTTTTTACTTACTAAGCAAAAGCTCATTCAGTATAAAATACGTGTAAAGTATTTCAATTTAAAAAGGAAGGAAAATCCTGTATATTAAGTTTCTAGAGAACATGCTCAGTTATTTCAGATGGCTTTTTAGTAGCATGAGCATTGTCGTTGTGTTGACCCAATATCAGGCCTGAAGGAACACGAATAATGGCAGTATTGTGCTTAGTTTGCAGTGCTCTTCCTGCACTAAATCCCATCAGAAGTTGAACATCAAATGTAGTACATGGTATGCATGAAAACTTCGTTGGTGTCAGTAGAAATTTAATGTGGTAAGTAGTCGGGACTTTTAGGTTTTCCAGCTTAAAGGCTTGTTAGACGTTAATATAGTGCTCAGATAACAAGGGACAGATTATTGTGTCAACAAAAAGATAGTGTTTAGAATGTAGCACATAATGCTTTAAAGGAGAGATGGGTGGGTTTGATTTCTGAAATAAAAGGTATTGAAGTGCTTATGTATTTGTATGCATCGGGCTTTCAGTGATTGCCTGCATAATCAAATCTTTTGAATTTGGTTGACAAAAAGGGTCCATATTAACAAGTATTTGGTAGATCAGACTTGAATTTTTACAATTTTGAGACTTAGTTAGCTTTGGGTTTCCTTCTTCTTGTGCTCAGATATCTTTGTATAAGTATCCTTGACTTAAATATGAGTGTACAGACTTTTGAATGTTAGTATAGACTGGATGCTTTATTTCTGCATTATGTTCTTTGGTAGATGGGAGTATTGTTAGTTATTTTGTTTGTCTGCCTTCCTCTTTAGGAACATTTTATACGAAAAAAGCAGGATGAAATCTGAAATTTCTTCCCTTTTTTTTGTCAAATCATCAGATAAAATTAAGAAATTGAGATTCAACTTAGCGTTCGTTTTGAAAAATAAAATGTGTTTCAGAAGCATGAGCTGTGATTGCTTGTACAATGTTCTGCCATTCCTGTTTTTCTGTCTCCTTTCAGCCAAGGCCCTTGTTAGGAGTCTGATGCGCAGCACTTGGAATGATAAACAGAAATGTGCTGAAATTCACTGGCACTGGGTTTTGGGGTTTTTTTAATTATTTTTATTGCTAATGGCAACTAAATTGCTACTCTCAAAAAGAGGGCAGTTGCTGTGCAGAAAGGCCCAATCTTTTCCTAAAACCTGCTGCCTAATCTTTATTTTAGAAGCGAGTGTTTTCATTGCCTGTAGCAGTGAAGGTGTGACTCTCAGCTGACCATGGCTGGCTAAAGGCAGGTTTGAACCCACCTGTCCTGCACTGCATCTCACTCAGCTTCCTGGCTGACACACTCAGAACCCAGCTGGGAGCATCAAACCTTCCGTACCGTTCTGCCAGATGGAAGGGCCATTAAAGAAAACAAGTTTGCATTTTAAAACTAAATGTGCAAATTTAATTGGCTTTTTCTGTCCAAACTCTCTGTGTTATTAGGCTTTGAATTTTAAGTGCAAAGGGACTTTGTGGTGCATGAAGTACACATCCACTGTCTGGAACATTGAACTTGGGCTGGAATACTTTCAACTTTCAGTTTGACTTTTTGTTGTTACTCTAAAAATATCTTGCAACAGAAGAAGCATTGTTTCATGCTTAAAATATGGTTTTGATTATTCTGTGTTGCTTTGCCCACTTTCTGCTGCTGTTGTCAGTTATTTAAGAGTTTAAACTTTTTTGCTGAGCACTGAGTATTTAATGTGGTGAATGTCTTTTCCCAGAAGCAAATTCCAGTGGTGTATCCCATGTACCTATAAACAAACCTTCCCCTCCCCACCCCAAAAAAAAAGAGATTCTGCCCTTGAAACACATAGAAATCACTTCAGTGGTCCAAATAACCTCTTCTCTAAAAATTAGTTGGTTTTTTAAGTAAGAGCTACAAGAGAACGTTTAGTGTTTTGTGTACTGAAAAAGTAATCCAGAGTTCAGAAATAAATGCCAGAAAGTGGGCAAATAATGTCAAGTACAAGCAGAGTTGGCAAAGCTTGTCCATTTAAACCTTTTATTCTAATGGTGCCTGGGTTGTTTCTCGCTCAGTGCACTTCACTGCTTCCTTTACTCAGGCTGTAATGAGTTTTCTCCCCATTCCGTGCTAGTTTCTCCCTTTTTCTGGTCTCTCCAGAGTCTTAAGAGCAAATGCATTAAATGTTGCTCTTCCCTCATGCATGTATTTTCCATGCCAGGCTGTTTCCTGCCCCAGCAGGCTGGCTGTGGACTGCCCCACTGAGCAGGGCTGGGCAGTGTGGGCAGTGGGGTTGCCTTGCCCTCCCTTGGCAGCCTGGCACCCCGGGCCCCCATCCCTCCTGGAGCACTGGGGATGGACAACACACATGGAAGCTTTTCGGTTTCCAGAGACACAGAACCTTTACAGGGCAGTGATCAGTGTTTGACAGTTAAAGTGAAGCACCTTATACACAGTCCCTGAGCCATTAGAGAGTCCTGGGTACACTTGCCTGTCAGTTCTGTTGAAAGATCAGATGCAAATGGAACATCAAAAACTGTTTTTTAAAATACCAAACCCACTGGTTTTGGTACTCCCTAAACAGTTTCTTGCTACTTAGGCATAGTGATGCCTCGTTCTGGAATGGGCTTTCCAGATGGATCCCTTTCCTCGAGCCACACAACTGTTTTCTTTTTCCCACTTGTAATTTCCTTCCAAACCTACTTGTAAGTCTCATCTCTTACTGACACTTGTTAGGGTGCAACACGTTCTACGCAGCAGAATGGAGTTGGGTAAGACAGGAGTGACGTGTGAGCACACCTGAGTGTTGGCTGTTCCTGTTGCAGTGTCTCTGCAGTGTGGGTGGTACAGGTACAGCTGCTGCCTGTGCTGTTCTCACAGAGGGATCACGGGACACGTGCTGGGCAGGGACTGGAGGCCTCCTGTGCAGCAGCTCAGGGAGCGACCTGTCTGCTGCCCTCCTGTGTCAGGGCATTAATTCCATCTCACCCTCTGGAGTGGCAGGGAATTCCAGCTGCTGAGCTCACCCTTTGGGGCCGTCCCGGTGCAGATTCCTCAGGATTTGTGCAGTGCTGTCACAGTGCAGCACTGCGGGATCCCAGCGCTGGCTCCCTCGGCTTTGGAGGGATGTTTTTCTGCAGTGGGTTGAGAGTTTTCCGTTTCACTTAAGTAGATAGGTTAAGGGAGAAAAAGACAGAATGGACCAACCCAGCAGGGCCTGCTGAGGGAATCCATGGAACATTGTCTGCTCTGCAGTCACTCTCTGTGTCCAGGCTCAAGGACTCTGCATGTTCATTGTTTTAGCTCTCACTGTTGTAAAGGCTGTGTAATATATATTATATATTATACATGAAATATACATATATATACATGCAATATATTATACATTAAATAATCTGAATTCCCACATCTGCACCAAACTCTTTTAATGCATATTTTGATAAAGTAGTTGGCATTCTTCTGGTTTCTAAGCAACTTATATTGAATGAAGAATTATATGCATTTTATTTTGCTTAATACTGACATATACCCTGTAAAGGTTTTCGTTATTCAGTAGAATTAGTTTAATCTTAAAGTTCAAGTTCTCTTTTAGGATATTAAGCTCTACAAAATCATTACTTTAGTCAGCCATCCTTGTATCTTTTTGTATCTAAAGAAGAAAAGTAGTTTGTTAATCAGATTATGCCTTTGAATTGCATCCCTAGGTGCAGCTAAACTGGGATTTGATTTCCATTCTTTGAGCTTTTTGTGTGTGGTTTTTAAAGCTATTAAGTTGTTTCTGTGGTTACATTGACCACTGAGTAAGAACTCCAGTGTTGATTGATGCTTATGAAAGCTTTTTGTCCAGAGGCTACTTGGCAGTGGAAAATGTACAACTCAGAGGTTTAAAAAAAAAAGAAAGTGGGGTTTCACAGGACCTTCCCTTATGTGTTTGTTTGACATTGTTAGCAAATTTGAGAGAGGTCATTTTCCTCCTGCTCCAGAATTGGCATCGCCAGTTTTACACTGGGGTAGGCACCAAGAATGTCATGTAATTTTAAAGTATTGTTCTGGTAGCTAAAATGTTTTAAGTTACTAACCTAAAGGTTAGTAACAAATAATTTGGGGTTTCTGTGTTTATCAGCATGTGGCCTCTGTGTATAGTCAGGTATTGTAACAAATTGTATTTGGACAGCTGTTTCTCATGCATTTTTCTAGTGTCATGTCAAATTGCTATGTTAGAAACATAATGTATTACCTGGTGGTAATACAATTCCAACTTACAACCTGGCAATGTGTCTGGTAAACAGCTGTTACCAAGAATTCCAGTATTTTCTAATTATATTTAGTGGCATTACCATTCTACTTCCTTGCTTTTTGCTTATATTCAAAGGAAAAATGGAATATCACAAATTTGTCTTTGTTCTTCAACAACTTGTGATGCAGACTCACATTACTGTGTTGAATAATAAAGAATAATACACCTAATGTTAAACCCATGATTGAATCGGCTGTTATGAAAGTTTGATTTAAAAAAAAACAGAGGAAAAAAATCCTTAGCCTCTTTGTTTCTCCTCAAAGTGGAAAAACATCTTAGACTGGCCATCTCTGAGTGTACCTTTTAGTGATCTACCTTTTCATTCCTTATGAGGGGTAACCCAACTAAATTCCTCCTTTAACTAGTTCAGTAAACGACATTTCAGGTGGTCCTGACTTTCAGGCTATCACAGTGATCCTAAAACACCTTTTTAGCTGTAAAAATACTTTGTCTTCATAGGAAACTTACCTCTAGGATTGAAACCTAGAAAGTACTGACTCTGTTGAAAGTGAGATTTTTCTTCCCCCTTTCTGTCTGTAGTACAGTAAATGAAAATGTTGCTTACTCGTATTTACAATTTTCTGTGGTTCTCTGGATTCTGCAGTGGAGGGGGCACAGTAAGACGAGTCATGCTCGGTTGTTGCTGGCAAACCTTCCCACGTGTTAAATACTTGTATTTCAGTGCAACTCTGTGGTGTTTGTTTTGGCACATCAGCTAATGGATGACAACATTCTATTTTTAGCAGGTGATTGCTGCCCAGAGAATGCCTCACAGGCTGTAGCCACATCTGGCCCCGGTGCAGATTTGCCCCCGGGGGAGCAGCCAGGCCCCGAGGACACCTACAGAATGAACGTGGCCAAGGGGGTGTCGATGTCCCTGCCCTCCTCGCCCCTGCTGCCACGCCAGCCCTACCTCCTGCAGGCCAGGGCGAGCAAGAAGTCTCCAGGTAAAGGGAAACAATGAGCTACTCAAACCTTCATAGCCTGTTAGCTCAGTTATTGACAGATGTTACATAAAGTAACACAGTAAAATCATATTGAACTTTTGCTACAAAAACAAGAGCAGTGCGTGTTCCCAGGGAAAAAAGCTTATTAAATAGAATATATTAAATAGAACATATTATTTCATATGGCAGAAAATTAACTGATATTGCAAATACTTGTATTGAACTATCTGAATATGGTTAAGTCCAGTTATATACCTGATTAGTGTATCAGGTAGAGGACTGCTGCAAAGCCCTTTGTTTATGCATATGTTAGTGACTGTGTGAGAGTCAGCGTTGTACCTTTTTCAGTTCATTTATTTCACTCCTATCTCCAAACATAAATGTATTAATAGACAAATTGCTGTGGAAGTGCCAAGAAAGCTGATAATTTTCAGGGATTGTGTCCTCAGTGGTGCCAGCACAGTGGTGTGTGAGCCAGGCTAAATATGGGGCTCCATGGGCTCCTTTTATCAGCATTCTGTGCGTGGAGATCATTCCAGCACACCAGCATCACTTGGGTTCACTGGGGGCAGAGCTGGGCAGCCAAGTGACACTGTCCATATTCCTGCTGCCCCTGGAGACACTCAACAGGTTTATAAGTCTGGGAACAGAGAGTGTTGAAAGGTGGGTTTTGTCAGCACTGAGAAATGTCTTGGCTAATGGCCCATTTTACGTAAAATTAAAGAAAAACCATTGTGCACAGAATTGCTGTAGGATAGCTAATACAGTTTGTAAAAAGTATTCTTGGTTTAACTTGCCTATCAATAGTGGGTTTTTTTCTCCTTTCAAAATTTAAAAGTAATAATCTTGCTTTATACGTAAATAATTTTGGGTTGGTTTTGACAGTTCACATAAAAGTTTTGAGCCACTTCAATTAAATCTTCTAATTAATAAACAAATTATCAGCATACCTGATTACTTGAGACTAGACTAGGTCAGAGAACCGGTTTCATCTCAGCTGCAGTTCTGTGCCCTGCCCTTGAGAGCTCTGGGAGCTGTTCCTCCTGCATGCAGTAACCTGTCCCAGGTCCAAGGTCCTGCCCCTGCACGGGGCAATCCCCAGGATCAGTACAGCTCCACTTAGTGCTGATGGGAGGGAAAGGAAGGGGATGCACAGGTTACAATCATCTTTTGAAAAATCAGCTTTTCTGCAGTCAAAAAAGCATGAAGAATTACTAGGAAAGCAATAGATCATTTAAAAAAAGTATTGTTCTGGAATTGTATAAATGTGTAGTTTGTCCTCCTAGAGCAGTCTGGTGTAACTGGTGCAACCTCAGACATCTGCAGTTGATGTAGGACAGAGCTCGACAGGACCCACTGGGGGTGTGGGACGGTGCTGGAGGAGGAATCATTGGACTAGACTGCCCTGGGATTTGCCTGCCTGGAAGAAGGACAGGTGCAGGGGAAGGAGGCAGTGCAGGGACAGTGTGAGGTGGTGCTGGGTTAACCTGCACAGGGGGCAGGCTGGGAGAGAAGGGCCGGGCTGAGTTGTCGGAGGGAAAATCCATCCAGAACTCCTGAATAGCAGGTGACCACTTCTGCCTCTGGGAATGGTGAGGCCCTGAACAGCAGTCACGGGAGCCCACCAGGGACTGGCTTTCCCTTACTTGGATTCCTCTCTGCCATTTGCTGCTGATAAAGCCCTGTCCCAGATGAACCTTCCATCAGACCTAATTCAGCCATCTTACACTTCTGGAAAAGTGTTCCTGTTGTGCAGATACAGTTCACATTTAAATGGGTCCTTTTTCATCCATTTATTAATTCATGTGACCTGTTCTAGATTGGTGCATGAAAATAAACTTACCATGAATTCTCATACTTGTTGCAATGTTGTATGTCAGATTTGCAAGTACTGTAAGTCACTTCCACAGTAGTTTGTGAGGAAGAAAATTCAGTAAAGGGTCTCCTTCATAGCTTAAAACATGAGTATTAGAAACACATCCCGAAGATATTTCCATTTTCATCTAGTTTTACATGACTGCTACATGTTGTTCTGGTTCTTTTAGACTGATTGCTTTTTTTGTTGTTCAATCTTGATACGTTTGATTACACTTCTGCTTACAAATGACAGGTGTGGACTATTGTCTCCTTAAAGAACGTGAATTTATTTCAATGGAATTGAAATTTTTTGCTGTTTCCAGCAGGGCCAATGCCCCTTATTTTTGTCAGGCAGTAGTGTTGGAAGAGCCCCCTCTGCTGACAGTCAGTTCTGAGCTTTCGGGGGGAGTAACACCCTGAGATGGGACGGCCAAGCTTCCCAGCTCTGTGACAGTGTGACCCTGGGAGCCTGAGGCCAAGGAGGAGAGAGATACAACTTCTCTTTCAAAGCAGTCATCAGCCTTAGAGTGCTCAGGAAAATGAGCAGGAAATCAATGCAGTTTTTAGAGACTTAATGTAGCATCTGAGACTGCTGCCAGAAGGAAAGATGGGATGCTTTTTGTGGCTGAAATGCCATATCCTAAATGTATTGTGGGGTTTTAATAAACAAAGTGTGGGATGTCTGAGAGAGCTTTGGAGTGGCCTTGAGTATTGAGCCAAGGAGAGGGATGCTGTTTGAAGACCCAACCTGCAGACATGAAAGCCCATTTACCAGGGCCATGTGTGCAGTTGGCATCAGCCCTACAGTCCCTCTCCAGAGCTCCCTGAAGGGGCTTCGCTCTGTTCAGGTGGGAAGTGCAGAGCAGGAGGAGGAACAGTGAGAGCCTGAGGTGCAGTCCTGAGTTACAGACCAGCAGGAAGGAGGAAAGGAGGGAAGCCAACCTGCTTGAGTTGCTTGCAGCTTACACACCATGTGCAGTGAGTTTGTTTTCCTCGTGTTCCAAAAAGCCCAGGGTGTGTGTTTCTCGCAAGAGTGGCAGCACAGCAGCTCACTGCTCCTTACAGCAGCAGCTGTGTGTAAGCAGTAATGCTTTTTTTGCATCATGGAGGATACAGGACACAGGAAACTTGTGATCCAGCTGGGAAAAGTTGGATCCACTCGGCTCCTTCCCGTTGCAGGTCCGGTGAGGAAGCCCAAGTATGTGGAAAGCCCGCGCGTGCCCGGAGAGGCGGCAGTGCCCCCGCGGAAGGTTCCGGAGCCAGGAGAGCCCAGCCCTGGCGGTGAGTGTGTGTGCAGGAGCTGCAGGAGCTGTGGGGAGGGCAGAGTGGGGTCTGGAGTGCTCACTGACAGTGAGTGTGTGTGCAGGAGCTGTGGGGAGGGCAGAGTGGGGTCTGGAGTGCTCACTGACAGTGAGTGTGTGTGCAGGAGCTGCAGGAGCTGAGGGAAGGGCAGAGTGGGGTCTAGAGTGCACACTGACAGTGAGTGTGTGTGCAGGAGCTGTGGGGAGGGCAGAGTGGGGTCTGGAGTGCTCACTGCCTGGGCCTGTGGCTGGGAGGTGCTTGCCATCACACCCCTGTTATCTTTGTCTCAGTTCTTGGGGCTGTCATTTAAAGGAAACTACAGTTTAAAAACCAATGTTTTCTTTCAGAAAAAGGCTCTTATTTTTGGTACCTAGTAACAAATATAGATCTAATTGTAGTTGTTTTCACCGTCTGTTTGATATAGTGTAGTTACCCTGGTCCCTCTTGTGCCTTCATCTTCACAGCCTTTTAGTGCTGACATTGAAGTTTTAGGTGCAGCTGGGAGGGCTGTAGTTCTCATCCCCCTAATCTGAAGGTGACCATGTGGTGATGCTCCTCCTCTCACAGAGCTGTACTCCCAGGCAGACTGCTGGGGATCAGCACTAACCTCTGCTGTGTAAGGATCCAACAGTGCTTGTTGGGTTGAACACCTCAGGCTTTGATCTCTTACTGACTGAATTCGGTACTGTGCCTAACGTTTACTCAGACTTGTCAGTGTTATAATTTAAATATAATAATAATAGATTGTGATTTCACAAACTCTATAACTTCAGGATTGTGACTTAAAGATTAATTGTAAACTTTAAAATGGCAATTTTTTAGAGAAAATGTATTTTCCAGTCAAATATTTGAAGGCCTGTCAATTTGTGAAAATTCTGAGATAAAAAAATCTTTTGCTGTTTACTTTCATAGACTTCCTCCTTTTGGGATTAAGTGAGAATCAGATAATTCAGTCTTGCAGAGTAAAACCCCTGCTGTTAGGGAAGTGGCTGTGCAGGTGCTCCTGGGTTAAGTGTTCCTGAGAGGAGATGGTTCTCAGAGTGGTAGGATGATGCTCCTTACTCAATTAGCTGTTTATGCCTGAGGATGGGACAGGCCTACATATATATATATTTTTAATGGACAAAAGAAATAAATGCTCTGTAAATGTTCCTGCCAGAGCAGATGGTCCCAGGTTGGTGGGTGATGCCAAACTGCTGCAGTGGAAGAAGGGAAATGTCTTGTTTGTGAGATTCCATTAGCGAGAGGCGTTTGCCATGGGCGCAGCTGGGCTTGGCTGCTTTTGGTGGAGGTTGCCTCATTTTGAACTTTGTCTTCTTATATCAGTTGGATGCCAGAAGACATTTCAAAGCACTGTACTGATAGAATTAAATATCTTTGCAGCCAGAAGAGCTGGGAACTGATGTCCATCCTTTGCATAGCAGGCAAAACAAAAATCTGTGGTATTAGCTGTAGTGTTAACTGTGAGATTACAAAACATCTGTGTCATTAACCTCTACTTTTTTTGACATTACAGAAATAGAATCCCAACCTGCCACTAAGCTTTGATAGCATTGAGCTTAGTGCTGCAGATGGGAAAATGGTCATGTTAAGTTGCTCATCAGTCCAGGGATGAACTGGTTGCACTTAACCATTTCTGTTTTGACTGGCAGGGTGGGTTTTAACTCCCCTAGATTTGTGCAGATATGCAGAGGATCCAAGACTCACCAGCAATTAAAAGTTTGATGGATAGTTTGGTTGTACTCTTTTTACCTCTTTTAATAGTTTCCAAATACAAGACTCTAATCTTCACCACCTTTTTTTCTCTCTTCTCCAAAGCAAAGCCTGACAAAGACTCGAGCTGTTCTCCTGCAGCACAAGAATTGATGACAAGATTGGGTTTTTTACTGGGGGAAGGGATTCCAACTTCTGCTCACATGGAAGAGAAAAACGAAGTTATGGTAGGATAATGAAATATATTTGATGTTCATCACATTTCAGAGAGAACTAATGTTATTTCCCCTATTTCCTGGTTGCAGTTACTTGATACTTACCAAAATACAATCTGTTTTAATAGACATATAAATATAGACATATAATAATAGAATTGTACTTTAATTTTAACAAGTGGTTTTTTAAGAATGGAAGATCAACTCACAGTTTCAAAACAAACAAACTGAGTAAACTCCCCATCATTTCTAGAGGTTAAATCTAATCTTCTGTGAATGTGAATGGCTTCTGGAGTTCTCTTGGCCTTACGTTAGTATTTAGGAGGAACTTTTTTCCTTTTGTTCTCAGTGATTTCTGAGCATGCTGGGGGATAGGGTTGTGTTTGCTTTTTCCTGAGAAGTTCATGTCAGTGTGGCAGTGTTTCTCTGTCATTTGGGGTAGAGGGATTGGAGAGAAGCAAGCAGCTACTGTCCATATGGAAGTCATCTGCTAACCAGAACTTCACAGTAACTGCCAGCCTCTGCTCCTGCCCCTTACTCTATCTACTTTTATTCCCAGTCCTCATAAATCTTAGTGCATCAGTTTGGGTTTCCTTGATAGTGAAATGTGGATAAGACTGCAGTTCTGTGTTTCTGTCCAAAGAATAGCTACAGGAGGTGGAGGGAAGGATATCCAGTAAAATGTTTGATAGAGAAGAAAACTGCCTCACTGCAGCTCTTCCACTGAACTGTGAAATTCCTTTTTTTAGCTCAGAGGTCGCTTTTTAAGAGTAATATGAAAGATTAAGATTCCCAATCTAGACAAAGCTTCCACTCGTTGAAGTTTTTCCTTGAACAATGGGCTCTTTGCTTTGTTCTCACCGTGCCTCCCCTGGAGGTGTGTGGCTCTCTGTGTCCTGCTGCTGTGAGTGAGTGTTCCTGCTCTTCCCCCGGCAGTGTGCAGTGCCCAGCCGAGGAGTGAGTCCCTGTTCCACCCTGACCAGCAGCACCACATCTCCCAGCACCGACAGCCCCTGCTCCACCCTCAACAGCTGCGCCGGCAAAGCCGCGGCCAAGGGCAGCCCCTGCGGCACCGTGAGCACCCCCAGCTCCACCCTGGAGAGCAAGGACAGTGGCATCATAGGTGAGCACCTCAGGGAACACACAGCACTGTCCTCCTGCTTGTACAGGTCTGAACAGCTGCTGCACGTCCTTGTGTTTGCTCCTGCGCTGTCCATGGATCCCGTTTCAAATCCTCTGTGCTGGGAAGGCTGAAATCTCGTTCTTGGCTGTAACAGTTGCTCAGTTGCTGTTGTTAGGTGTGCATTTCTCTTCTTTTATTTTCCTGGTGCAGTTCTAATTTCTCCACGTTTTCCTTTAAAAGAATTAATTTCCTCTGTTTTTCTCCATTTCTTATTTTCTTCTGCCTTTTTCCTTTTCCATTATGTAGGTCTCTTCAATGCTTCTCATAAGGGTGAAGCACAGCAGAGCTTGAAGCTGGTTTACTTTCCAGCTGAGGAAACAATAAATTGGTGTGACTTCTTATGAGAATCAAATCAGTCTGTTTAAAAGCAGTGCAGACTTTTGAGTAATTAGCATCAAAATGAAACTAAAATGGGGCATCATGGAAGAGGTGCAGTTGTGTGATTCTCCACTGAAAGATGCCTGAGCTGAGGGTGTACGTGCATCTCCTGTGGGGAGTTGGTGATGGTGAGAGGCAGCCACCCTCACAGCCCAGCTGTCACCCAGCTCCTTTTACCACCCAGCTGGGTATTTCAGCCAGTCTGATCAACACTAAAGAAAATATTAAATTCCTTTTCTGCCTCCTTTGTACCATCTGCCCTGTTCCTGCTCCCTGCCCCAGTGGGTCTCTGTCTGTACCACTGCCTGCCTGCACCTTTGGGCACTCACGTGACAAGCTCTAATGTTATTTTCTGGAAGGTCAGACTGAGACGTTAAAAGCATATTTTTCATGTTATAAACTGCTGTAGGAAGGTTTATTCTTCTTCATTTGTTTAGTCTTTTTTTAATGCTGATTCTTTAACCAAGTGATTCCTTTTAAAATTGGTTTTTAACAGCTGTTAAGATTGCCAACAAAACCAAAGCTCAAAATGCCCCCTAACACATCTCAATACACAAAAGAGAACTTTTGGTTTTAGTCAAGTCCAGCTGATTGAGTGAATTTAGGGAGGCTGAAGAATGGAAACAGTTTTAGATCTGGAATGCTTGGATTTGACAAAGTAACCTTAAGACATGTGATTGCCTCTGACTGTGAACTTAGTGCTTTTCTATTTACAACTTCTGTTTGGACAAGGAATTCCAGGTGCAAGTGCTCTCTCCCTGCTGTTGTGAATTCTGCCATGATGATCCCTCTGGTGACACTTCACTCTGATTTTATAGCTGCTCTTGCATTTTATTATAAAGTGAGGTAATTAATAGTCGTAAGTTTTGACATAAATTATTGTTACTGATCCATTACCCTAAAAGACATGTTTGTCGTTCAACAAAAGACTCTTTTGTGTGAAACTTCAGTGCTTCAGTTTAAGAAAATGATTTTGTGAACTCATTCCATTGCAGATTTTTATGTGGTCAGCTTGGTGCAAGATCTACTTTTGAGACAGTGTGAACATCTTGATGTAAAGGAAAGGGTATATCAGTTGCTCTTGGAAAAAGAGCACAAATGTAGATACTGTGTGAACCTACTACCCAGGCTTTACAAGCTTTAAATAGTCAGTCTATCCATGTTCTAAATAAGGTCAGAACTAGCCTCGTGTTTTGTTTACAATAGTGTATTGGCGTGACAACTACATCATCATTTTATAACCTCCTAAGTACTAATATTTTAAAGAAAATATTTTAGAACACAGTGATAAAAGTTTATTTAAACTACTGAAAAGGAGGGAGTTTCAAACATAAAAGAAACATGAAAAAAAGTCCTTCATTATACAGGCAGAATAGAGGATGGTGGAGTTGAGAAGTATGTGAGTGTGAGAGCAGAGAGGAGAAAACTCCTAGAGTGGGGGGGAACTTCTGTGTAGCTCCTTCAGGCAATGTGTGGTTCATGGTTGTGGGGCCACATGAAATCATCTGCTGCTGCTCTGTGGAGCTGTTGTTCGTGTCTCAGATTCAGAGAGAATTTGAACAGCCCCTGGCCACCCATGGCAGCACCCCTTGCATCTGCAAAGGCATAAAACCAAGAAAGGAAAGAAGAGGCATCTCTCTGATAAGTGACCTGGGCTTTTCTTCTTATATACAAATGTGTCTGAGCATTCAAATTTGGTTTTAGTAGCAAATGTGCATTTTAAATTATGCTTAGCAAGTATATGTTTTCTGGTGTCTTTGAGGACGTTCATCCAGCCATGAAAATATCTTGCTCTTTCATGGTACTTACGTGGGTTTCCTTTGTATTTCTACTCCCACTATGTTTTCTGGGCCAGCAGACTGATGGGAAATGTGTCTTTTCTCCCTTTGCCTCTTTTTTAGTTACGGTTCAGGTTTCCTTTAGTTTTCCAGTGTTCTACTGCTGTAGCTGAATCCTTCTTTGCTTCTATTGAGTTTGACATAATAGTAGTGGAGGCAGGTTTTAATCTTTAGCAATGAGCTGAGTAGGAGAAAAGATTGGGCTGCTGGCCAGAATGTAAGCTTTGCTGGATCCTTGCCCCTGTTTCAGTACAAAATCTCGAGCAGCCAGGTTTCCTGATGCTGCATTTCATTCCAGGAGGAATCAGAGGTTTAAACATTTTGTACTTCAGGAAGAGCCAGATTTTTTTGACACGACCATCAAAATGAAATAATTTGTCATACAGAATACAGTTTAAGGTGTGTGCAAGGATTAATGGGGTGCCTGAAAAGCTTTTTTCTTCTGTTGCCTCTAAATTGTGTATCATATTGTTGGTACTTCTTAGAATACAAGCTCTCGAATTTAAGCATCAGATCTTACATTCCTTAGGAATGTGAGCCTAAGCTGGAGGAATGCAGAGTTGTACAAGTACCTCACCATCCTTCAGGGCTGAAGCTGCAGTGCAGGTGGTGTGGAAGGAGAACAGCTGGTCCTTCCCCTGCCTGGACGAGGCTCAGTTCCAGGAGCTGCTCACATGGTTGGGTTTTGTTGCAGCTCCAGTATGCCAGAATGTTTTACTTAAGGAATTGGCCACTTGAGTGTAGAATTGCCATATATATAGCCTTAGCTTTTAAATGTTAGCCTGGGGAGGACCCAGAGTTCACATAGATACTATTATCTGAACTGGTACTGATTTTTTATTTTATGGGGTTTTTTAATCCTGATGTTCTTTCATCCTGTATTGTATTTTCCTCTGTTGATTAAAGTGTTCAAAATGCACTGATTGTTGGCTTAACCTTTAATAAATATTTGTTGTTCAGTTATTTTATGAGAGTTTAAATTAAGTAATTAAAAAAAGTTTTAAATGAAACTGAGTAGTTTCAATATTAAACATCCCAAAGAAGTGTATATCTGTTCTTAGGCAAAGAGGTGAGCAGTTTTATGAAACAGTACTTGAGTAGGTCTTCAGAAGTACAAATTCTTCACACCTTCAGTTTCTGCAGGAGGCCTTGATTAAATGCAATCTCAGGCAGCTAAAGACACACTCTGATAATCCTCAGCCACCAAGGTGGAACATTTGGATCCTTGGCTAATGCAGTTGGTGGTGTCTCAGTGGAGTCACTGCAGCAGTGGAAGGCACTGCTCTGTAACAGAATCCAAAGACACCTCTGTGCTCTCAGCTGCCTTTAACTGAGGATCCCTCTGGATCTGTGTTGCTCATTGTGCAACATCAGAAATTTTCATAGCAGTATAAGCACATCTTACTGCCTGAAGGTTTCACCTAGTATTGAGAAATTATTTGTAAATGTTTCCTGGTGACATCAGAAACAACCTCCCCAAAAAAACCTTTCTTTACCCTCTGATTTACTGTATACTGCAGCACACTGAAATCCTTTAAAAACTTAAATCAGTATGTTTAATATCATTTGAAATTTTGTTAATATACTCGGCTGGTTCTTTTACATTGTGTGTCTGGCCTCTTTTGCTCTTCTTGACAGTAAAATGTGGTAGGTAGCTAAGAAAGGAGCAGTAAATAGCTCAGTTGCTGGAAGGTCTCTGTCGAGATCAGTTTGCCAGGTATGTGAGTGCAGGCTGTTTGTCATCCTGGTGTAATTACGTATTTTAGGTGAGACCGACCTGAACAACACTGAATTTTTATCATTTATGCTTCACAATGCTGTTTGAGAGTGACTGTTCTAACATGTGTGCCATGTTCCTCTGGTGTGTACTTTAGTTGGGTTTTTTCCCTCTTTTTCAGCTACTATAACCAGTTCATCAGAAAATGATGATCGTAGTGGATCCAGTTTGGAATGGAGCAAGGATGGGAGTCTCAGAGCTGGAAAACATCATGGCATCAGTCGTGATCGAAGGACAGATAATTGTTCACCAGTTGCAGAAGAGGAGGCCCTTGGATCTGCTGAGAATTTGCCAAAGGAAATACCAACAGGAGAGGGTCCCCTTCCTTACGCTCAGAGTTCTGGCTCTCTAATAATGCCTCGTCCAAACTCCGTTGCAGGTAAAGTCCTGAGGTAGAAAACAAGGATGTTCTTAATGGTAGGACATTTCTGTTGAATCTTTCTGTAGTTACATTGTTAGTATGAAAGTGTCTCTATAGGACAAAAAGAAAAAAGCCTCTGTTCTGAACTGAAGAGATGAGCATTACCTACGTTATTTAAAATTGTCGTCCAGAGGGCTGTTACTGTGCTTTCTGCTAGGTATTGGTTAGGTCAGGACTTGGAAAGTCCATCAGTTATTCCAGGATTCTGTGTGGGGTCAGGTGGTGTGTTAGAAGGTAATACCTGACCCTGTCCTAACACTTCTGACCTTGCTGAGGTGGTTGTTCTCACGGTGAAAAAGGAAACTCTTAATGTGAGAACTGTTTGCAAAATGAGGAAGTAAGGGCAGATGTGAGGGCCATCTAAATGGGGAAAAAACAATCAAATCTTCAGTGAACTTGATTGAAAATCATTTTGTAAATGTTATGACATGAATGGCTTTGCTGCCATTGTCTAGAAAAGCTTCTCTGTAAGTACCATGTGGAGGAAGAACTGTAATAAATAATAATCTTCAGTCCTTTAATACTCTAGCAACAAGTTCAACCAAGCTGGAGGATCTGAGTTACCTGGATGGCCAGAGGAACACTCCCCTGCGCACGTCCATTCGCTTGCCTTGGCACGGCGCGGCCGGAGGGAGAGCACAGCACCAAGGTAAGGGGGCTACCTCTGTCCTGGCACAGTCACACTGCCTGCAGGGCTGCCTCTGTCCTGGCACAGTCACACAGGGCTACCTCTGTCCTGGCACAGTCACACTGCCTGCAGGGCTGCCTCTGTCCTGGCACAGTCACACAGGGCTACCTCTGTCCTGGCACAGTCACATGGCCTGCAGGGGTCCTGTCCTGTGCATGAGCCTCAAGAACAGCCCTTCAGGGTGCTCATTACACATCACTCCACATGGCTGCAGATGGGAGGCTTGCTTACACTTTTCCCTGCACGGTGCTGGGGTTCAGAGCTTGAACTGAATGCTTGTGCATCCGTCACAACCAATGGCAATTAAAAGCCATTGAAAGTTTACTTAAGAAAAATCTTAGGTAAACTCCTGGTAAAACTGATGTTGAGATCATATGTAGACACTCATCATCATCATCATCATGGCCAGGCTTCGCACACAAAGGTTTGGGAAGGCTCTATCCACCTTTGTTACAAGCACGCTGGTGGCTAATGAGGCCAATACGAGACAGACATGTCCAATTGCAAAAGGCACAGCAGAAAGACTCCTCAGGTGGAATGTTCTGCAAGAATATGTAGACACTATACTGTGCTTTTTCACTGATGGCTTTTCATAGTCATAGTTGGATGCTGAAACAGCATCTGTGTAACATTAGATTTGGGTAATGAATCTTTAGAGCATTTTATTAGTTAACATTATTATTCCCATAAATTTTAATATATGTTGTGCAATGAAACCCAAATTCTTCTCTAAGTTGTCAGGTGTTTGCCTGATGTATAGATCAAGTAATCAAGCATGTAACTTCTGATCTTGTGACTTCAAAAGTACAAAAACCAAGGAGGTAGTAATTTTTTTAATATTACTCTAAAATGAAGGGTTTTTTTAAAGCAGAAAAAATTATTTATTCTTTCTACTTTTCTCTGTAAGTATCTTTACAGATCTGAAGACCTAACACTGAAATGCTCAGCAGCATGTTCACTCTGAAATGAAAAATATTTGGCACTTCCCCATTTATAGAATTATTAATGCATTTTTAAGAAAACTTTTCAGATTCTGCAACTTATTAACTCCAGTTCAGTCGTCAAAAAGTCACCAAATTATACTTGTAGTTTCTTCCCTTTACAGTTAAATTCATACAGTTTAATTCAGGTCATGGAGGTGACCTGAACTGAGCAGATCAGTCTTTATTGTTTTCATGATGAAGGCTCTAAAAAGTCAGATTGTGACCACTAAATGCCGTTCCCTTCTGAAACTGTGCTGTTTTATTGCATGTCAAGTTTCTTCTAATGAACTTTCTTCCCTGCCACCTCTTCCCAGCTCGTTTCATCCCCTACAAGCCCCAGGACATTTTGCTGAAGCCGCTGCTGTTCGAGGTGCCGAGCATAACCACAGACTCGGTGTTTGTTGGGAGAGACTGGCTGTTCCAGGCCATTGAAGAAAAGCTGCAGAGTCCTGACCCAGCAGGGAGCAGGGGAGTGGTCATCACTGGAAACGTGGGATTTGGGAAGACTGCTGTCATCTCACGGCTGGTGGCACTCAGCTGCCACGGGAGTCGCATGAGGCAAATCGCTTCCAACAGCCCCAGTTCATCCCCCAAAAGTAGGTTCCTTTTCCTTGTTTGGGTTAGTGTGCTGACAGCAGGAGTCACATGTTCCCCTACTGACACTTGAAATATTACTATTATTAATAATAGCAGTGATAAATTGTTTTTGTTTCCCAAGAGATCAGTAATATAATAACTGTTAGTTTAAGTGAAGCATCATATGTGTAGTTTTCTGAAGGAAACTCTTCACATCACCATGGTTTTGCTTTCAGTAATTCTGTAGTTTTGACCTAAAGTCTGCTGAGTTCTTTTAAAATTGTGAAGTTGCAAATGTGGGCCTGTATTTATCAGACTAATTGCAAGTTTCTCGTAGTGCTATTTCTCAGTGTTAATTTTTACTCTAGCAGTAAAAACACTCCATGATGTTTTCCTAAAAAGCAGCCTGCTACCGACAAATTTGGTCTCTTTTGTGTTTGTTGCAGATGGTGACTCCTGCCAGGAGATTCCCTTAAGCCAGTTACCCCCATGTGCCCCTCCAGCAGGTGACCCCAGTACCAGTGACATTAAGGTGAAGACTCTGACTTGTCCTGCTGCTCCTGAATCCAGAGCTCAGGCGGGAGATGCTGTGAGGCGCCTTGCTTCCAAGGTGAGCTCTCACTGCTCACAGACACTCAGAGTGTTGGGGAGCTCTCAGGTGGGGTCACTGCTTTGCAGAGCCCTCTGGGAGGCACAGGCAGTGCTGGCAGAGGGGCAGTCACCGGGGCACCTCTGTGGGATGGCTCTGTTTGGTGGCTGGTGAGACCAGCTACCTGCCTCTGCTGCCTCTCAGGGGGTCACTTGGATCCTTCTTGGTCTTGGAAAGAGTCAGGTTAATACTTTCTGCTCAGTTTTGTGGGGCTGTGGGAAGTTGGGATCCTTTCCTTGCCAAGGGGGCTGTGTGTTCTTTCCAGGGAGCTGCTCAATGTACCTTCCAAAAGCAATTTGAGGGGGGGGAATAAAATCTTTGGTCTGTATATAATCCATCTATATATGCTGCTATGATACAGGTTCAGTCTGAATGTGGTTCTTCTGTTTTCCACACTCTGAGAATCTGAAGTCATTTTTGCATTAGATTGCTATGTTAAGTGTTATTTTTTGCTTAAGTAGTAAAAATAATGAATGTCTGAATTGCATCCTTTATACGAGTAGTTATGATGAAAACATCATAGCACATGCAGTCTTTAAAGTGATATGTGTTAGTTAGAAGCAGTGTTATGAAAGCCTCTGAAGTGCAGACTTTCTTTGTTTGCTGTGACACCATGTTCTTCTTGTGGTTGGATTTTTTTTTTTTTCAAAGAAATATGGCTAATGTCCTGGTTTATTTTTAAGTAATACACACCTTTGCAATACTCAGAATAAACTTAGTTGTCCCATTTCTCCATTGGCTTATGTGAGCATGTCTTTAATAGCTGTCTGTCATTTACTTCTGCCTGATGATGATCAAATTAGTCCTTGGTTGGTACAGTGTGAGACACAGTGTTGTTAAATCCCAGCTAATAGGTCACAGCCTCAAGTTACTTCTCTTGTAGTGCCTAGTTATTTAGCTGCTTCCCCACTGTATCCAAATGCCACAATCTCCAATTGCTGTTTTCCTGCCGGAATGTGGCACTTTGGTTTCTTTTCCTGTTTGCATGCCCTGCAAGGTCAAAAATCTCCTCCTTTGCCTTCCTCCCTGTGTTTGACCCAGGCCTGCGGGGTTGGATCTGACACCGGAGTATTTTGTCGATGAGAGAGAAGTTTAATAACACTTTATTATAACTACACTAACTAGTGCCCAGCTGAAAGACTGGGAAGGTGATGCTCTTTGGTTTCCCCCCCGTGCAGGTGGTGGCCTATCACTACTGCCAGGCTGACAACACGTACACGTGCCTGGTGCCCGAGTTCGTGCACAGCGTGGCCGCGCTGCTGTGCCGGTGCCAGGGGCTGGCAGCGTTCCGGGAGCTGCTGGGCAGGGAGCCCCAGCTGCAGAGCCTGCTCAGCCTGCGCTCCTGCGTGCAGGACCCCGCCTCGGCCTTCAGGAGGGGAGTGCTGGAGCCACTCACACACCTCAGGAAAGGTACAGCCAGCAGGGACCTGGGAATGGGAACTGAGCTGCAGGAAGCGGGGAAAAGAAATCACAGCTAAAGAAAGCAGAGTATTCCTGGAGAAAGGGATCATTCCTTCATTGTGGTAGTTGTTTGTAACAATAATAGGTGGGTTTTCAACGGTTGATTTGTGGTTTAAATTAAAATTCTATGAAACTTACTAAAGGTCATGGAAACTTTACCTTTTTTTTTTTTTGCCACAAAACTGAAGGATAACTGTAGCTTGACGTTAAGGCTGCACATTCACATTAAAGGATTTTGTTTTCAGATGCTTTTGAGTTTTGTCACGTTTTCTCTTGTAATTGGCTGTGCCTAGGAATTTGCAGAGTGGATGAGGATAAAAATTTGATGACAAAAATGTGTCATTTAATGGGAGAATTTGTTTTCATCATTTCCTTTTTTATTTTCACATTTCAGAGCAGAAGATTCCTGAGGAAGAATACATAATTTTGGTAGATGGTTTAAATGATGCTGAATTTCATAAACCTGATTATGGTGACACAATTTCTTCATTTATCACAAGTATAATCTGTAAGTTTCCTCCCTGGCTGAAGCTCATTGTGACTGTAAGAACTAACTTCCAGGTAAAAACACCTTTTAGCTCTTTTCTTACCCTTAAAGACAAAACAATTGTTTATATTGGTGCAGCTGCATTATTATGAAAAATACTGGGTTTACAGGAATTCAAAGTGAAATCTCTTGGGTTTTTTCCTTCCTTTGTTGTCACATGTTTATGTGCAGTGCACAAATATGATATTGGAGGCCTTTTTAGTAGTGAATCACTCTCTTGAGTCTGCCAGTAGGATTGATAAGAAATGGTGAAACTGGAGTGTGTTCCCTTGGCCCTCAGGACTGCCATGGCAAGGTGCAGATGTGCTTCAGTACGGCCTCCTGGAGTTCAGTCCATCTCTGCTGCCAGGAGCACTAGGAGTGTCTAACTGCCTGAAGAGTTGATTGATTTCTCAATTAAAGTTTTTTTTATTTCCTGCAGTAGGGACTATTCCCTGTCTGGATACGTGTGTCTGTGATTAAGACATCTCACTGGCCTGACAGTGCAGCTTTTAGAAATCCATGTAACTGCATAAAGTGGAATAGAGAGTTCCTTTTTGTGTTGAGGAAGTGTGGAGAAGTTTGTTTTAAACCCTTGTGAAACCTCTATGCAAGAAGTTTTTAGTTCCAAAACTTTAATTTTAGAAATGTTAAACTAAAACTTCAGAAGTTTTACTTTAGGTAAGAAGTTGAAGTTAAAAGTTGTAGAAGCTTTTCTTTAAAATAAAGATCTTTTGGATCTTTATTTACATAAAAATATGTTCAGGTGAAGCTGCTGAAGTGTCAGACTGTGCCACACTTGGCACTTGCCTTCAGCCACCCTGGGCTGGGGATGTGTGGGTGGTGCCTTTCTGGTACATTGTTACTGGAAGATAAAATGAAAAGGAGATGCTTTTCTCTCGTCATTTATGATACTTCTTAATAAATCTTTCCTACCTAACATATCATTCCTCTTACCTGCCCCTTCCCCTGGCCTGTCTTAGGGTCTAATTCTGGTGACTGTATTCTGTTTTGAAGTGATCATTTCTATAGCTCATCCACTTCAACTGCTGAGCTTGGTCACTGTAATATTTGATACTTTCCTATGAAAACTGATAAAATGTAGAAGTACTGTTCTGCCTGTTATCAGGGGATGGGATTTGCAAAGCCATCACAGGGATACTAAATTGCTTTGTCTGATACTCACTACAGAAGAGAAACAGCAGAGATGTGTCATGGAGTTCTCAGTGCTGGAATACTCTAATGCCTCTGGGTTTGTTTTTTCTTTCTTTTTTTTTTCTCCTCTCCCCCTCACAGGAAGTAGTAAGTTCACTACCATTTGTTGCAATATCCCTGGACAATTTTCCAGACAACAAAGAAATTCACGATGATTTGAATGCTTACATTCAGTACAGAATTAATAGCAGCCAGGAAATCATAAACAACATATCTTTAAATGGAAAAGCTGATGCAGGTACTATTGGGAAAGTGAGTAACCACCTGATCATGAGAAGCCTGGGATCTTATCTCTATTTGAAACTCACTCTGGATCTTTTCCAAAAGGGTCACTTAGTAATCAAAAGTGCAAGCTACAAGGTTGTTCCTGTGTCTCTGTCAGAGCTGTACTTACTGCAGTGCAATATGAAGTTCATGACAAACTCTGCTTTTGAGCGAGCCCAGCCCATCCTCAATGTGGCACTGGCATCCCTGCATCCCATGACAGATGAGCAGATTTTCCAGGCTGTTAATGCAGGACAGATAAATGGGGAACACCAGTGGGAAGACTTCAGCCAGAGGATGGAAGCTCTTTCGTGTTTTCTGATCAAAAGACGTGACAAAACACGCATGTTCTGCCATCCTTCCTTCAGGGAATGGCTTGTCTGGAGAGCAGATGGTGAAAATACTGACTTCTTATGTGAGCCAAGGTAAATAAAACAGGCAGTAATTTGGTTTCAAATAACTGCAGTTGTGTTTTGTATAATTGATTGCAACAGCTGGTGAGAGGAAAGAGGGATGTTAAAGCATAAGTACCCCTAATTTTTTCCAAAATTAAAACTTTTATATGTTTAGAGGTAGACTTGACTTGAAGTCCAAGGTTACAATGCATAATTGACTCTGTAGAAGTCACAAGTTTACATTTGACTTTGCTACTACCTTCATGGAGAAATGAGAGTACTGTGTTGTTATTAGCACAGCAAAATTGTTAAGAATAACCTTGTTTCCTCAGGCTTGTGGCACTGCCACTGTTTTCTAGAACACTGACCACCACTAATGTAGGTGTAGAATTACTAAATTCACATTTTATCTCGAATTTCAAAAGGATACAGATCTTGTGTTTCTAAAAGAATTGGCTTCTCTCTCAGATGCCTGCAGTTTCTGGCTCGAGAACACAAAAGGGAGCAGTAAACCAGAGTCAAGCTGACATGGGCCCCCTGCAAGGGGACAGCAGAGAAATACCAGGACTGTGTTTCAACTTCAAAATTTGCCTCTTTTCTTTTTGTTTTATTTCGTTATGGAAGGAATTTTGTTCAGATGTAATGGTGTGTTTCAGTAGTCTGACAAAGCTGAGCTGTTATAACAGGCACCTAGACATGTTAGGATATTTACTGAGATACAGCTATAAAAGTGGTTCTCAATCCTTTTTACCAGGAATGGACATGCTCTACTGGCTTTCATGTTTTCTCGACAAGAGGGAAAGTTAAATCGCCAACAAACTATGGAACTTGGTCATCACATCCTTAAAGCTCACATTTTTAAGGTAAAGCTTGCAACTTCGTAGTTTTATTACCTCCTCATGAGAATGGGTCATAGAGATTCTCCTCTGACTTCCTTGAATAATTTGTTAGGAGCTTATGCAAAATACTTGGTAGTGCTAACGACCAAATTGTTACTTCTCTTTATACTGAGTTGTAGATCACAATAGTATTTCTAATCTTAGAGAGAGATCTCCTGTTATATCATTCCTGTTAGGGGCTGAGTAAAAGGACCGGAATTTCTTCCAGTCATCTCCAAGCCTTGTGGATTGGTTATAGTACTGATGGACTGTCCACAGCCCTGGCTTCTCTAAGAAACATCTACACACCCAATGTGAAGGTAAGAAAATCAGCCTTCTCATGCAGTCAGCGTTTCATCTGGTGCTGCTGCACTGGTTGGTGTTGAAGTTTCAGCAGAAAAGCTGCTCACACCTGGACTGAACTCCTTTGTACCAAGCCTTCATGTGCTTTTATAAGCTGTGGTTGAAGTGCAGAGCAGTTTCCCTGGATGGTTTTGATGGCAGGAAGGGTTAGCCTGGTTCTGCTGTAGGCCTGCTCTGCAGCACAGGGGCTGTGGGTGCATTTCTGGGGCTCAGACATCCCTCTGGCCTCGCTGGGCAGAGCTCAGCCCTGTCTGCTGCTGTGGGGACGTGCCACTTGAACAGGGGGAAATGCTGTGAGAAGAGAGGATGTAAAATGCCATAACTTTGCACTATTATTTGAATCCCCAGATTATAGATAGGGAAATCCAGGTTGGTGAGCTGGACTTGGAGCCAGCTGCTCCTTTTGGTTGGGAAGTGCATGTCCATGAACACACACACAGGCTTTGCTGATTTTTTTGAGATTGCTTTTTATGCAGTCTGGTTCTCTCTTAATGGAGACAGTTACTTAAATCTTCAGTCACACATGCATTTGTGGTGAGAGTAATGAGTTTTCAGGGGAGAGATGAGTCTTCTATTGGGAGTGTGTTGGTCAGTAATACAGTAATTATTTACTAAGAGAAGATTTTACACTCATATATTGCTATATATGTGATAAAGTTGATGTCTGCCAGTAAAATCTGCATCAAAATTAGCAAATAACACCTGATCAAGGTGTCAAATTCAGACAGATCTGAGGAATATATTGTTCTGTTTAAATTAAATTTTAGGTGAGTCGGCTGCTGATTTTGGCAGGAGCAAATGTGAATTACAGGACCGAAGTACTGAATAATGCTCCAGTGCTGTGTGTTCAGTCACACCTTGGGCATGAAGAAGTGGTCACTCTTCTACTAGAATTTGGAGCTGCTATTGATGGAACCTCAGAAAACGGGATGACAGCCCTGAGTTACGCAGCCGCTGCCGGTCACATGAACATTGTGTCACTGCTGTGTAAGAGAGGTGCAAAGGTGAGCAGAGTGTGCAGCCAGGAGAGTCAGGCAAAGGCCTAAGAAAGCTGTTGTTGATTACAGAAATATATAATTATCAGATATAGGCCTGGGGGGGCAGTCCAGACTTCCGTGAAGCATTTTCCTTGTGCCATTAATCACAACCCTCTGCCAGATCTGTTCAACCAGTTTGGGGTGCACCTCACTGTGCACTTACAGGACCTTCTCATCAGCTTACTTGTCTTACTGAGGGAGTGTCAGAGCCCCCTAAAGCTGAGGTTGAGAGCATCCCTAGCTCTCCTCACTCCCCCTCCCACCCCCTTGGAGCCCCAGGCTGTCCAGCTGGCCAAGCCTCGTCTCACCTTGGCAAACCCATGCTGACAGCTCCTGGTCACCTTCTTGTGTTTGGCAGTGGTTTCTGGATTCTGTTTTCCATCACTTTCCCAGCCACTGAGGTGAGGCTGCCTGGCCTGTAATTCCCCAGGTGTCCCTGCCTGCCCTGGACAGCAGGAGTGGCAGCTGCTCTCTCCCAGTGCTCCAGGTCTCCTCTCCGGGCCTTTCACTGCACTTTTTAACCCCCAATGT